TTAAACCCAACAAAATAAAAGTTAGTGGGATAAAATTCAAATCCAATAAAATAAAGTTTGGTGGGATAAAATTCAAATCCAACAAAATAAAGGTTGGTGGGATAAAATCCTAACTCAACACTGTTGATGGGATAAAATCCAAATCCAACAAAATAAACGGTTGGTGAGATAAAACTCAAGTCCAACACAGTTGGTAAGATAAAATTCAAACCCAACAAAATAATGGTTGGTGGAATAAAATCCAAATCCAACAAAATAACAGTTGGTGTCTGAAAGCAGATCATACAGTGAAATTGAGATGACTTTTAAAATCGCATTTTTTAAAATTTACCCCAGTGTAGGGCTTTTTTTTTAATTATCCCAATTTAATTCTGACTGAATTTCTTTACTTTTTGCCTTTTTTTTTACTGAAATATGTACTCTTTCTGAATGAATGAGTTAATCTTTCACTTTATCATGTAATATTGTTGTCCTCTTTTTTTTATTCATGATTGACCTTCGAATTTGTAAGATTCTGACTTGCACTTTTTCGTTAATTTTCAGCCATAAGCACCTGCACTAATGGGATTTTTCAAAGTACAATATGTACAAAAATTTCTTACTTTATTTTGAAAAATGATGCAATTACTACTCATGAAAGGAGTAATCTTATCAAAGTTGAATTTTGAACGATAGATTCGAAAGTATATTACTTCACTCGTGGGTGGAATCCCACAAATATAGTACAAAAATTTACCCAAATTTGGACCTATTTTAATTACAAAATTTTTTTTGACTGACTATCCATTTATTTTGAACAAAGTAACAAAACTGTATTTTCTAAAATTTAGAAAAATAATCACATACTAACATGCAATGTGAATAGAAATTGCATTTTTCAAATGAAGAATTTTAAATGTCGGGTTCAAACTCATGTAGAAGACTCCATGATGAATCTCTTAAAATAAGACCAAGTTGCAAAAAATTCCATCCTCACTTTAGGATCGGTGTTTAGAGAAAGTGATCACTTTTCTTATTAGCTTATCCTTTAGGTCCAAACAAGCGGTATTATTCTTGATTTTGAGGTGGCTAAGATAAATGACATATCACGATCTGTCTTGCTTTTGTGTACAGATTATGTCTAATCCATTCAATATCACATCTTGGTGAAAGCAAAGAGTTTATCACTCTTACTTCTTGAGAAAATTCAGTCAACATATAAACTCTATAAACTTGTAATATATGGGTACAAATGATAGCTAAACATATAAAAACATGTTATGGTCTTATGATCACGAGTGATTGGTAGATTCTTTAGAGGCATGATTCTTATTTTGAGTTGTCATGAAAGATAAGTCAGCAATAAACTTTATGAACTTGTAATGTGGCTTTCACAATGATAGCTAAAAGAAACAAGATTTTCAAGAACAATACACTTACGATCGCATTCCTTTTCAAAAATTGCCCCAGTTTGGACTCAAAAATCATCGACTCTATTTTGACTTTTATCATCCATCACTAGAGAGATTTCAGTATTGAATATCATTGCATTTTCTTTTCTTCTCTTTTTTTTCTTCACATTGTTTTCTTTTTTTTTTTTTTGCCAATATCGAAATCCCAAATATCAATGATAAAATTGAAAAACTCCCTAACTTTTAGAGTATAGATACCCCGTCTCTTTTTTCAATATTGAAATCCAAACATCAATAGTAGAATCAAATTCCTCCAACTTGTAGTTTCTCTTTTTTTTAATTTTAGCATTTTTGCTATTTTTGAAAAATTCTTCAATTTTCTTCCCCAATGTGGGGTGCAATCACAAGTGCTTTTAAAACGAACCACCAATTTAAGTTCAAATAAGGATGCAAAGGATAAACAGTATTTAGATAGTAGAAACGATGACCAAAGTATCATTCTTACTTCGCATGACAACCAAAATAAAGAATAGGCCATTGGGAGAATCCATTTCCTTTTGACATTTGAAAATTTTTTCAATGTAGGGTTATTATCACTAAGGCTTTTATTTGAAATGAAATTGTACCTTTTAAGGCTCAAATGAGAGAACAAATGATAAAATCTGTATAAATAGAGAAACGAACGGCTAAAGTATCATTTCAAATTCTCAAAATAAACAAGAGTAATGTACATTTTTGCTTTCACTCAGATGTGGATTGAATCTGGTTGGAAACAATGGCCATTTTCAAAATAAAAAAATTGCCCTATTTTGAAGCATGTCAACCACTGTGATTGATTTTGAAAGCTTAATAGAAGCGGACAAAATATGAAAGAAAAAAGGTATCATGATAGGGTGCATTTTCTTGGGATATTTTGGGTAATTTTTCACAATTGTTTAACTAAATATTACATTAATTGGGTGGATTCTACTCATATATAATTTTGGTGCTAATTGTAGGAACTGATGATGAAAAGCGCTTAAAAGTCAAAATTTAGAGGATTTGTCGTACGTGGGGCACTTCAAGCAGTGGGGCCCACTTGAGAAGTTGAAGAAATTAAATTATAATGGATTTTATTTTTTTTTTGAGGGAGTTCTGTTTCTTTGAATACCAGTTTCAGATAAGAGGAAATCCCTTCCTCCATTTTCGGGGACTACTTGTTTTAGGGGATTTTCGTTTTGGCTTAGGTTACTTTTACTTTTTTCGGTGGCCGTGGCTTTAAAAACAATCAGGGGACAGAAGCTACCGGGGTTGACTTTGCAAAAAGGGCTTCTCCATTTGCACTGACCAAATTGAGTAGAAAGCAATTGGAAAAAACCCTTTCTCGTATGTTTTGTGAGAACAAAGGAAGAAAAGAGGCTAGCCGCAATTGTGGACCTTTGAATTGTTTTTCAATCTGGCTTTGACCGAAATTGAAGAAGGAAGAAAAAGAAACTCTCGCATGTCTTTGTAGGTAATTTGGGAAAAAGGCAACAAAAGGCCAGCCGCCATTGTTGACTTGTAGTTAACGCTTTTTACCCTTGTTTGATACAATTGAAGGGAGCAATTTGACTCCTCGTACGTTCGGACTTCTGGAGACCATTGAGAGTAATCAATTTCCTTGTTCTTGTCTTCGGTTGTTGACCGAAATTGAAAGATCCGATTTGGCAACCTTTCCCAATTCTCCACGCGTGGTTTGTCCTCCATTAATGGAGGGCTAATTTTCTAATTCTAGTCAAGGGGCAACTGACGAATTGGTTCAGCAATCATTGTGAGATCTAAACCGTTTTTAGTTATTTTCTTCATTTAGTGGTATTTATATGTTTCCTGCTTCTAATTGTTATAGCCCTTGTATATGATTGATTAGTGCGCACTAATTAATTGTTCATATAGGCTATTTTCCTAAATAGGGATAATTGAATCCGTAATTGTTCGTTATCTCTATCTCAGTAGCAACTAGCGTAATTGGATTTATGTCAGGGGAACATATGATCTAAATTAAATAAACCCTCGTAGAGTGTTTATTAGTTAGAATTGGGCCTTTCTAATTATTAATGTAATCTAGAAATTAAATCCTACGTTCGTACCTAGGGTTGTTTCTAGATTAGAGAAATAGTTAACGGTCGTACCTTAACTATCGAGAAATTAAGGAAAGATTAGTTGTGTTATTACGTGCATGACAACTATAACTAATTTATTAATAAATGTTGGAATTATCTGTGAATCGATGATCTGTGCATGAACCATTTCTGAAGTGTACTTTTGGCTGGAGTTTCTCTAATTATTTCTTTTAATTAATTATTTTCTGCATTTCATTCATTTAGTTAGCATTTAATCCTGAAAATCCCCATTTATCTTGACTTGAAAAAAAATAAATTTCTCGCTAGTCCCTGAGGAAACAACTCTGCTTGTCACTGTCTACTAGTTAGTGAATTCAGTTAAATAATTAATTCAAATATATCGGATAAAGCAAATTCTTCGAGAACAGGGTGAATCAAGTAACCCATTGCACACCTAGAGTCTCTGCTCCAATACTAGAACTGATTATTGACTGCTTCAGGTGGTAGTTAGGTTTTATTTATTATTATTGTACAAGTTCAACACCTGTCAATTTTTGGCGCCGTCGCCGGGGACTGGCGTTTGAAATATTTATTTTTTTTAGTTCAATTTTTTTTCTTGATGTTTTTGCTAGTTTATGCCCCGTTCTTCTTGCACAGGTGAATTGGTATACGACCCTGAGGTTGAGAAGGCAGCGCGTAAGCGAAGGCAAGAAATCAGGAGATGAAAAGAAGGGCAAACATCTACTGCAAACGAATCAGTAGAAGACGAATTTAGCATGGCCAACACCCAAACATTAAGGGAGCTGGCTACTCCGGAGTTGACTCACTAACCCTTGTGCATTACGTTCCCAACTCTGGCTGAGAATACCTCATTCGAGCTGAAATCGAGGTTGATTCACCTCCTACCCTCGTTCCATGGTCTCTCTGGCGAAGAACCCCACAAACACGTCAAGAAATTCGAAATGATTTGCTTGAGCATGAAACCTCCTGGGGTCACTGAAGAGCAAATTAGATTAAGAGCCTTCCCTTTCTCTCTCAAGAATGCAGCTAAAGATTGGCTATACTACTTACCCGTAGGTAGTATTACCACATGGGCACAATTGAAAAAGAATTTTTTAAAAAAATTCTATCCTGCATCCCGGGCCGCGAGTTTGAGGAAGGAGATATGCAGCATTAAGCAGTATCTCGGGGAGTCCTTGTATGACTACTGGGAAAGGTTCAATAAGTTGTGCACTAGATGTCCGCAGCATCAAATTAGTGAACAATTGTTGATCCAGTACTTCTATGAAGGGCTCCAGTCTACAGACAGGAGTATCATTGACGCTGCGAGTGGAGGAGCACTGGGAAACACGACACCGAAGGGAGCATGGGAGCTTATCGAAGCCATTGCAGAAAACTCTCGCCCTCCAATTCGGGAAGCTCTCTGGAGGATATTGTCAAGAGCCTGGCCACGACTACTACTCAGATTCAACAGGAGATCAGAGCCTTAACCACGAGCACTACCCAATTCCAGCAAGACACCAAAGCGGACATGAAAGATATGGATGCTCGAATGAGCCAAATGGTAACTGCTATCAACCGCGTGGAGTCCTACGTTTATGAGAAATTGCCATCGCAACCCGAGGCAAATCTCAGAAATGTAAGTGCCATGACACTGAGGAGTGGCAAGGAAGTGGAGGGACCTAAAGTGAAAAATCCAAAGAGCAAAAATGAGGAGGAGATAGAAAAAGAGATTGAAGAGGAAGGGCGCATTCGTGAAAATCCTAAGGTAACATTCACTCCTTCATCTCCTATTAAATCTAACTTACCTCCTTTTCCTTGCATGTTGGAGAAAACAAAGAAGGTAGAGAAGGAAAAAGAGCTTTTGGATGTATTCAGGAAAGTGGAGATCAACATCCCATTGTTGGATGCAATCAAGCAGATACCAAAGTATGCCAAATTTTTGAAAGATCTGTGCACCCACAAAAAAAAGATAAGAGGAGATGAACGAGTGACAGTGGGAGAAAATGTATCAGTAATACTCCAAAGGAAACTCCCTCCCAAGTGTGAGGACTCAGGTATGTTCACCATACCTTGTAAAATAGGAGATACCCCGATTAGGAAAGCGATGTTGGATTTAGGGAGTCAATTAATGTTATGCCTAAGACTATTTACGCCTTTTTAAATCTTGAGCCATTAAAAGGCACAAGTATTATTATTCAACTAGCAGACCGTACCAACGCTTACCCAGAGGGTTAGTTGAAGATGTTTTGGTACAGGTCAATGAGTTAGTTTTTTCTACAGATTTCTATGTCCTAAACATGGGGGATGAAATGTCACTAAATCCGTCACCTATTTTGTTAGGTAGTCCATTTTAAGCACTGTTAGGACAAAAATAGATGTAAATGATGGTACTTTGTCAATGGAGTTTGATGAAAATTGATGAATTTTAATATCTTTGATGCGATGAAGTACTCGGATAAGGCTAACTCTGTTTTTTCTTTAAGTGTTATTGAGCCCCTTGTACATGAAACGTTCGAATTGGGTGGAGAAGATGCACTGGCAGTAACTTTGGCCAAACATCTTGAGTTGGGGGCAACTCTTGATGTAGAAATAAGTAATGAGTTATACCGTGCGGTTGGAGTTTTGCATTCGCTCCTGCCAATTTCTCCGAGGTATGAGCTTGCTTTCCTTTTTGTACCAGAAACTCAAACAAAATTGTTGTCTTCTGTTGTGCAGGCACCCGAGTTGGAACTTAAACCTCTCCCAAAGCATTTGAAGTAAGCATTTCTAGGGGACAAGGAGACATTGCCGGTCATCATATCTGCACACCTGTCACCAAGGCAAGAAGACAACCTTATTCGTCTTCTTCGAGATCATAAGGAAGCGATTGGGTGGAGCATAGCAGACATCAAGGGGATTAGCCATTCCTTATGCATGCACCGGATTCGGCTTGAGGATGATGCAAAGTCGGTAAGACAGGCACAACGAAGATTGAACCTACTAATGATGGAAGTGGTAAAGAAGGAGATATTTAAACTCCTGGAATTGAGGATCATCTTCACTACCTCAGACAGTCCGTGGGTTAACCCAACTCAGGTAGTCCCGAAAAAGGCGGGAGTGACTACAGAAGAGAACCAAGAGGGCGAGATGGTCCCAGTGAGAAAACCCACAAGACTGCGCCAGTGCATCGATTACCGACAATTGAATGCAGTGACGAAAAATGATCACTTTCCTCTACCTTTTATTGATAAGATGATAGAGAGGTTGGCTGGTCGTGTTTACTATTGTTTTCGTGATGATTTTTCAGGGTATTTTCAGATTGCGATAGCACCAGAGGATCAGGAGAAAACTACATTCACCTGCCCATTTTGCACGTTGGCCTATCGGAGGATGTCTCTCGGCCTCTGCAATACTCTAACAACTTTCCAGAGGTGTATGGTAAGTATATTCTCCGAATATGTAGAAAAAATTATTGAGGTGTTTCTGGATGATTTTAGTGTGTATGAAGATAGTTTTGAAGAATGTCTTGATAATTTAGCTTTAATTCTGAAGCGATGCATAGAGACAAATTTAGTTGTTAATTGAAAAAAATATCATTTCATGGTGGAGTATGGTATTGTCTTAGGACATGTAGTGTAGGTTAGGGGCATTGAGTTAGATAAACTGAAAGTCGATATTATTTCTGCTTTATCTTACCCCGTAAGTGTACGGGAAGTGCGTTCTTTCTTGGGTCATGCAGGGTTCTACAGGAGATTTATTAAAGATTTCTAAAAAATTGGAGCGCCCCTATTCAAGCTGTTGCAAAAGAATGTAGCATTAGACTTCACCGAAGAGTGCATGATGGCATTTGACAAAGTGAAGGAATCATTAACCTCACCGCCCGTCTTTCAACCCCCAACCTGGAGTTTTCCATTCGAAATAATGTGTGACGCAAACGACTACGCAGTGGGAGCAGTGTTGGGACAAAGAATTGACAGGGCGGCGCATGCAATCTACTATGCATCGAAGGCGTTGAACGGAGCTCAATTCAACTACTCTACAACGGAGAAAGAATTACTAACTGTTGTTTTTGCATTAGAAAAATTTAGACCTTATTTATTAGGTGCAAAAGTAACATTTTTCTCTGATCATATAGTCTAGAGGTACTTGATGACGAAAAAGGACGTAAAATCAAGACTCATCAGATGGATCCTACTCCTACAAGAGTTCAACTTGGAGATAAAAGATAAAAGTGGGGCAGAGAATTTGGTTGCAGGTCACTTGAGCCTCTTGCTGACACATAAGAAAGAGCAACCATTGAGAGAGACATTTCCAGAGTAACAACTACTTGCCGTTGATTTGTCGGCACCCTGGTGTTCTGATATTGTAAATTTCTTAGTGACTAATCAATTGCCTGCAGGGTGGCCAAAGGCTAGTAGAGACAAGTTGAAAAGTGATGCGAAATACTACATTTGGGACGACCCCTACCTTTGGAGACAATGCTCGGATCAAGTGCTAAGAAGGTGTGTAAGTGCATGTGAATTCTACTCTATTTTGAATTTCTGTCATTCGTTTGCATGTGGAGGGCATTTTGGGCCTAAGCGAACAGCTCGCAAGGTGTTGGAGAGTGGCTTTTATTGGCCCACCCTTTTTAAAGATGCGTACTTGTTTTGTAAATCATGTGATAAGTGTCAATGGGTGGGAAATATTTTTCGTAGGGATCAAATGCTCCAAACCCCCATGTTGTTTGTTGAAATTTTTGATGTTTGGGAGATAGATTTTATGGGGCCTTTTCCCTTGTCTTTTGGTTTCGTATATATCTTACTTGCGATTGATTATGTCTCCAAGTGGGTGGAAGCAAAAATCACCCGTACTAATAATTCTAGAGTGGTGGCAGAGTTTCTAAAGTCTAACATATGTATCCGCTTTGGGATACCGAGAGCTGTGGTGAGTGATAGGGGCACACACTTCTGTAATAAGACTATTACTGCCCTATTCCGAAAATATGGCGTGCTCCACAAGGTTTTCGCACCGTATCACCCACAGACAAATGGTCAAGCCGAAGTGTCAAACAGGAAGATTAAATCAATCTTGGAGAAGATGGTACGTCCGGACAGAAAGGATTGAAATTTGAAGTTAGAAGATACACTGTGGGCGTACCACAGTGCGTATAAGACGCCGATTGGGATGTTCCCGTACAGACTTGTTTTCGGTAAGGTTTGTCATCTTCCCGTGGAGTTCGAACACAAGGCGTTTTGGGCAGTGAAACAGTGCAACATGAACCTGGAAGAGGCGGGGGTCCAAAGGAAATTGCAGTTACAAGAATTGGAAGAGATTAGAAATCGGGCATACGAGAATGCACGATCTACAAGGAAAAGAGTAAAATCTTCCATGATCAGCAAATCTCAAGGAAATCTTTTGTAGTAGGGCAAAAAGTCCTCTTGTATCACTCGAGACTAAAACTTTTTCTCGGTAAGTTGCGTTCTCGTTGGATTGGCCCTTTTGTCGTTTCTAATGTGTTTCATTATGGTGCAGTGGAGATCCAAAGTTTAAAGACGGAGAAGAAGTTCGTGGTGAATGGCCATCGTCTAAAACCTTATTATGAAGGATTCTCTGTTGAAGAAGTGAAAGTTGTACACCTCAAGGATCCAATTTATCTTGTTTGAGGGTTCCGGCCGTATCTAACCAAAAACATTAAAGAAAGGCGCTATTGGGAGGCAATCCAAGGCTATTTGTTTTAATTTCATACATTTTTGAAGTTTTTGTTAAGTGTTGATGTCATTTAATAGGTTGTTGTTTTGTGGCAGGAAGTTGGCAGTTGGATGTGCTCACGCTAAGTGGTCACGTCTAAGGAAAAGAGTTGGATGGCGACGGTCAGAAGACTCTATAGCAGTTAAGCGTGCCCACGCCAGGTGGTCACACTTAAGGGAAGAAAATTTGCATCGATGGTCAGAAAACTCTACAGTAGTTAGCCGTGCCCACGCTAGGTGGTCACGCTTAAAGATCAAAAATTTTCGACGGATGGTCAGAATACTAGTAAGCAGTTAGGCGTGCCCACGCCTAACGCAGGGGTCCCTTGGTCGTTTTATTAAAAAAAAAAATTTGGGAAAAGACGAAATTGCCTTTACAAAAAAAAAAATTTTCAAGGACCCGTAACCCTATTTCTTCTATTCTTCTTTCTTCTTCCTTTTCTTTCTTTTTTTTTCTTCTTCTTGCTCCTTACCGTCCGCCGCCGCACCACGCTACAGCCACGGTCCGCCGCGCCCATCGCGCCAAGCACACCCCGCGACCTCTCCTGCGCGTACCCCAACTCACTCACCCTCGCCTTTCGCATCGAGCGCGAACAGCGCGGGCAGCAGCCGAGCGCACCTTTCTCCTCCCCATTGCGCGCCGACAGCGCTGCAGCATCAAGTCGCGCGACTAGCCCGCAACTCCAGGGCGCAACTTCTGCTCGCGCAGCCCAGCGCACGGCAGCACCTAAGCACGCGACCCTCGCGCGGTTCAGACCAGCAGTGCGGCCCATCACCTGCGCGCTGCTCCAGCACCTGCGTATTTTTGTCCAACCAAGCTCGCGCAAGCCAAGCGAGAGACCCGCGAGCCCCAGTGTTCAACCAGCAGGCCCAGCCAGCGCACGGGCACAGCCAGGCCACCCAGCGGCACGCTGTGCGCCCCTCGCCCCTCCTTCGCGCGACATCACGTGCATCCTTCTGCGCCTCTGCCCCACATGCATCGTTGTCCCTCCGCTATTGTCACCACTGCTCTACCGTCACCTTGCTCTCTTTCAAGCTCTTTTTCCTGGTGTTTTCTTTTAATTTTCTATCACTAATCAGCTGAGGACAGAATTTAAATTCGTAGCTGAGGCCAGATTTTTAAATTTCTAGCTGATGACAGAAATTTTGTGTTGGATTTGGGTCCTGTGATATTATCTGTGGCTGTTGTTGACTAATTGTTCCATATTGGGGTTAAATCGTAGTATTTGGGTGAAATTTTGCTGCTTACATGTTTAATTAGTTTTTGGGTGAGTTTATAGTCCGTTTCTGCAATTGTCTGTGTTTGGGAGCTGTGATTCTATCTGTGGTTGACTGTTAACTAGTTGCTAAATTTGGTGCTCAACCAGTGGTATTTGGGGGAAGTTTTTACTCTGATTGCCTGTTTAATTTGTTTTTGAGGAAGTTTTGCTGTGTCTATCTAATTATTTAATTTCTGGGGTGTTTGTTGTTTACTTGCCGGTGTTTGGGAGCTGTGTTTGGAACCCCGTGCTTGGTGGCTGTCTGTTTCCTTCTTTTGAACACCTCTCCCTTGCCTTTGCCCTGTTCTCTGATATCCAATGACTAAACCAAAAACTAAAGGCAAAATCAAACCACCTCCACCCCACAGCCTACAGTCCCCTTGGGTGGACCTACCCAGCGACTGGTCCGGGAGGGCCTTGGACCCGCCTTGGGTGGGATAGGGAGGTTCATATCTCTTCTCCGGCCCACTTTGGCGGTCATTGGACCTTTACTCGGGCTGCCGACAAGGAACGGTACACCGCGGCTTGCACAAGGAAGATAATTCCTTGTAAATATATTCACAGCCCTACACTTGATATATTGAATCTTAGGGATGAGGTCACGAAGCATTTATCCAACACAGGTTGGACCCGTTATACTGCTATCATTTTACCTGTTTTTACTAAGTTAATTTGAGAATTCTATGCCACTTTTGAATTTAATGTCCCTGACGAATTCTCTGTTACTACTCCGGGGGTAGTGAGGTTTAGGTTAATGGATAGAGAGTTCACCCAATCTATCACTGAATTTAATTTGATCCTTGGGTTTATTGACATTCCCTACTCCTAGAGTGAGGAATACATGCATAGTCCGTGCGAATACACGGTGCCATTTTTCTCTCATAACATTGGTTATTGGAAAGAATTGTCGGTTGATCGACAAAACTATAACCCCAGCCAGTCTAAGGCATCTTTTCTTAAGAGCCCCGCCTACCGTTATTTATATAGATTTATGACTTACAGTTTCTCTGGTAGAAAGGGTAGTTTGGGTACTTTGACCAAACCCGAGTTCTTTTTCATTTGGTGCATAATTGCTCGGATTAAGGTCAATTTGGGTTGCTGGTTTGCCCTCCACCTCCGAACTGTTTTAAGTAAGAAAAATAAGTCATTAATCTTGGGCTCATTTATCACTCAATTGCCTGTAAATTTTGGGATTTTGGACTTAAATAATCATAATTTGCATCGTGCTTGTACTATGGAATCCATTGATTTGGTTTGCTTGAAAAAAATGGGTTTAGTGCAACAGGTAAATGGCGTTTTCCAGTTCGCTCCCCCCAGACCGATCGCGGTTCCTCCGAAGCGCAAAGTTTCCAAATCTGCTACCTTGGAGATCGGTGGTCCTTCTACGGATGCCCCCGGACCTTCATCTTCAGTACCTTCGCCACCGCCCCCTACTGATAGCCAGTATTTAGCGCTTCGTTTCCAGCCGCACCACATGGATACTCGAATGGAGCGGATGGAGCGTCAAATGGCCGGAGTGGCGCAGAACTTAGCCCAGTACCTCCACCACGTGGGTTTTCGCCCGCCCTTCCCTCCACAGTCTTAGTTCATTTCTGCCTTCCTCCGTGTTAAGGGAAGTCTCGTTGCCCAAAACCTCTGTTTTGATCTTTCTGTGCTTACATTGAGGGCAATGTAAGGTTTAGGAGTGGGGGAGGGTTAACTATGCTTTAGTTGGGCTTTTAGTTGTCTGATTTGATTTTGCCTTGCCTTAGTAGTTCTTTGCCTTAAACAGTGATGAATGCACTTGAGATATGAGTGTAAGCGGTAAGTTCATGGTGTTCTACGTTTCCTCGATAATGAATTTATTGATGAATATTCTAAACTTGACATAAATTTGACCACTTGTATGATTTTTTGGCCTAATTTTTCGTTTGTTTGAGTGGTTATTGCACATGGTTTGTCATTCTAGAATTTGCTCGGTTATGCGTGTCAAGACCACATCTAAATGAGTTTAATGCATTAAAATGATAGGGCACCTAGGATTGAACCACTTTTGGACTTTGTTAAAAAACCAACCTTTAGTGTATTCACCATTAGGGAGCGAAGTCAGGCCTTAAACCTTACTCTTCGCTTAATACCCAAGTTTGTAGCCGTAAAATCGTTTTTTTTAGACTTTCTTTTTGAACCTTGTGTAAAGAAGTGCTTTGATTTCATTGCATAGAAATTTGGGGTATTATTTGGGAGGCATTACATATGTATAAATGAAAAAAAAGGGGAGAAAAAGTGCAAGAAATCAACAAGTGGAGTTGATTTTTATGGTGATGGTACTTATTGAAAAAAAAAAGAAAAAAAAGGAAGAAAAAATCAAAAAAAAAAAGAGGAAAAGAGAGAAAAAGAGAGGAGAAATAGATGAGTGAAAAAAGGAGAAAGAAAAAAAAAAAAGAAAGGCGAAGTTTGTGACGAGTGCTAACTTTTACTTCACTGGTTGGACTGTTGAGGTGCCTTGAAGTTTCAAATGTGCAAGAATCTGTGTAATGAATTTTCTGAGCATTTTCTTTACATTTTTACACCCTTTGAATCCTTTTTGTCTTTCCTTGTTACCCCAGCCCCATTACAATCTTGCAAAGTTCCTTGATTGTTGCATTTAAATTCATAAGTAAGTGGTGGCGATATGATATATGAGCAAGCTTATGGTAGTGTCATTCTATTGTGTTGATTTGCGAGCCATCTTATATACATATCCTATACACTTTGGAGTGAATAAGTGCACTTTAAACTGCGAGAATTGTTGATTTGGTATATTCTGATGTCGATGAGGTTATTGGGGAATGTGGAATGCCATTTTTGGTATGAAACTGCTGCAAATTGCTTGGTATCTTGATTGCACTTCTGAGTTAATTATGCTGAGGGCAAGCATAGTTAGGTGTTGGGGGAGATTGATAGGGTGCATTTTCTTGGGATATTTTGGATAATTTTTCACAATTGTTTAACTAAATATTGCATTAATTGGATGGATTCTATTCGGATATGGTTTTGGTGCTAATTTGCGGAACTGATGCTGGAAAGCGCTTAAAAGTCAAAATTTAGAGGATTTGTCGTACGTGGGGCACTTCAAGCAGTGGGCCCGCTTGAGAAGCTGAAGAAATTAAATTATAATGGATTTTTTTTTTGAGGGAGTTTTGTTTCTTTGAATACCAGTTTCGGATAAGAGGAAATCCCTTCCTCCATTTTCGGGGACTACTTGTTTTAGGGGATTTTCGTTTTGGCTTAGGTTACTTTTACTTTTTTCGGTGGCCGTGGCTTTAAAAATAATCAGGGGACAAAAGCCACCGGGGTTGACTTTGCAAAAGGGGCTTCTCCATTTGCACTGACCGAATTGAGTAGAAAGCAATTGAATAAAACCCTTTCTCGTATGTTTTGTGAGAACAAAGGAAGAAAAGAGGCTAGCCGCAATTGTGGGCCTTTGAATTGTTTTTCAATCTGGCTTTGACCGAAATTGAAGAAGGAAGAAAAAGAAACTCTCGCATGTCCTTGTAAGCAATTTGGGAAAAAGGCAACAAATGGCCAGCCGCCATTGTTGACTTGTAGTTAACGCTTTTTACCCTTGTTTGATACAATTGAAGGGAGCAATTTGACTCCTCGTACGTTCGGGCTTCTGGAGACCATTGAGAGTAATCAATTTCCTTGTTCTTGTCTTCGGTTGTTGACCGAAATTGAAAGATCCGATTCGGCAACCTTTTCCAATTCTCCAGCGTGGTTTGTCCTCCATTAATGGAGGGCTAATTCTCTAATTCTAGTCAAGGGGGCAACTGACGAATTAGATTTTATTTATTATTATTGCACAGGTTCGGCACCTGTCATATCATAATTGGTCTTTTAAGAAAATTATCAAGTTTGAGTAATCTCTTTTGATTTCGAACGCTCTCACCGAATAGTCTGAACCACAAATTTAGTGTATGCAAAGATTTTTGAAAATTAAATATACACTTGTGAATTTTCAGGCAAAAGGTTGAAAAATTTCAGCTTAATCTTATTTTTTAAAGTCCATCATAAAATTTCCAATGAGCAAATAAAAAATAAAATGTACATGAATATATACAAAACAATAATTGTCTAAATGAAAAACTTTATTATTGAATCGAATTTTTTACTCAACTATAATACAAATGAGAAAAGAAAATCTCTAAAGAATACACTTTCAAAAGGATTTTTTTTTTACAAACAATTATGAAATCTTTTAGATATTTTAGACTAGCGCTTCCAGATGGATTCTCCAAATTTTTTTTTTACATTGTAGGGACTGTCCAAGAATCAAGTAATATTTGTCATTTTTTTCAAAATTTATAAAACCAAAATTGTTATCAGATATAGAAGAAAATATTCTTTTACCGTATTAAAACATCTTTTATAAATGAAGGGAGGGGGACAAATAAAAGAAAAATACCCAGAGCTAGTAAGTAAAAATGTAAAATCAGTATGCATGTCCTATGAGGGAACCCTTTTATACCAAGGGTTGGCCTAATATGAAAAATGCAATCCTCTGGGGTGGGCACCATACAATACTTGATGGATCCGATTAATTTATTGATATTCGAGTGAAAAGTAATTTGAAAAATTTAGCTAATTGGAGTGACAGGAAACATTTGACCTAACAAAATGAGGACAAAATCCGAATGGATTGATTACTTTGATTGGCACATGAAGAGATGTTAAAAGTCAATTTAATATGAAAGAATCTACTCTTGAAAAGATTGCAACATCTCGATTAATTTCTTCAGTGAACCATAAATCGAAACCCTAAAAAAAATAAATGGGTCATGTGGATCGGATAGAATTGATGGTTTATTAAAAAAAAATGACTGGATTATCCTAAAAGTGAATAAACGAGTCAAATGGATTAAATGGAGTTGATATTTATTAAAAAAATTTACTGGATTGTCCTAAGAGTGAATAAACAGGTCAAATGGATTGAATGGAATTGACGATTTATTCAAAATGTACTGAATCGTTCTAAAAGTGAATAAATGGGTCAAATGGATTGAATAGAACTGACGATTTATTCAAAATTGACTGGATCGCTCTTCCATTTATAGTTTCAAAAATTTTGTTGCAATGCATTAATTTATGAGTCATTTATAATCAAGATTTAACCTCGATATATTTATTATCTCAATAATGAGGAATCATTTGTGAATTTCTTCAACTTAGCGTCATTTAAGCAAGAAATTTTTACCAACTTTGATAAAATGACCAAAAGATGATTATTAGAGGTAGGGGTGAGCAAACGGTACAAATTCGGTAATTCGGTTAGTTGAATTCGGTGAATTTGATTATTTGATTTATAGAAATCTAAACCGCTTTCAATTTCGAATTGGCTATAACCGAATTCATTTCGCAACCGATTTCGAATTCTGAAATGGTAATAAATTCGGTTAACCGAATTCATTTATAAAAAAAATAATTTTTTAAAAAGTATTACTGATTTGATCCCCAAATTTATTCATACTTTAACACATTACTTATGTTCTAGTCATTTTGTGATTTAATTTAATTGGCATTTATTTGATCACTTATACCTAGAATCCTTAGTCTATGGTTTAAGGAACACATAAAAAGTGATTAATTTAAACTTGAATAAACCTTAGACTATACAAGGATTAGTGATAATTTATGAATTTATAATTTACAATGATTAATAATAAATAATATTAGTTACAAACTTACAAATTACAATGATTAGTGATAAGTTATATTAGTTACAAACTTATAATTTATTTCAAATCAAAATAAAACTTATTTACTTACATATGTTATTGTGAAAGTCAATACACTAATACATTGATTTGCAATTCATATGCATTCACGTACACTACTTAGTTGTTTTGTCTATACTTAAAACCTTAAAATTAGTGAATAGAGAATATGAATTTTTATGTTAAATATGTAATGTAAATTTAGAGTACATTAATTGTTATGTTACTCATGTATAAAATATCTAATTATAGTCATGTTACTCATGTATAAAATAATAAGTATTATAGTTATGTTATATTGTTATGTATTACTATATATTTGTATTATTATAATCATATAACAATTAACAAATATTTGAATACTAAAATAATATATTGTACATTATTATATATTATTATTATTATAAGTACATGATAATACCATATACTAACTGTTATTAATAGCATTGGTGTAGATAATATAATAATATATTAGTAGTATATACTAATACTAAATAGCATTTATCTATATATTATATAATTTTATAAACTAATTTGGTATTCGAATGCGGTAATGTGGTACCCTATTTCATTTTACCAAATTTGAATGTGAAATCGGTTATTACCAAATTCATAATCTCATTATAATAATATATTAGTAGTATATACTAATACTAAATAGCATTTATCTATATATTATATAATTTTATAAACTAATTTGGTATTCGAATGCGGTAATGCGGTACCCTATTTTATTTTACCAAATTTGAATGTGAAATCGGTTATTATCAAATTCATAATCTCATTATAATAATATATTAGTAGTATATACTAATACTAAATAGCATTTATCTATATATTATATAATTTTATA